AAATTCCACAGTACAGAGACAGCTCTTCTCAAAGTAAATAATGATATATGCATGTCACTTGATTCTGTTAAATCCACTCTTCTTGTTTTACATGATCTCTCGATACAATTGACCACGACACGATGTACTTCTCTCAAGATTGTCCGATCTTGGTATCACTGATATTCCACTACAATGGTTGACATCTTAGTAGAGATGAGTCTGTAACAATTAATGACATTCATTCTACACCACAAATTATAAATGTTGGTGTTCCGCAGGGTTACATTCTTGGTCCTTTGCTTTTTTGCATCTACATTTCTCCACAAGACACTTAACATACCCCCCCCCTTCTACCAATATGCAGATGATAACTAGCTATACCTATCCTTCGCTCCATCAGACACATCTTCAATAGACATATTGGAAACATCAGATCGTGACATTAAATCTTGAATCACTGAAAATATATTAAAGCTTAATGATGACAAAACTGACAAAGTGCTGCCTATAAGATCAAAATTCAGCCGCCTGTCATGCCCAATAAACCACATCTTTGTTGGGTCAAGTACAAGCCAATATTAAAGACATCTTTGATCATCACTTCACCTTCAAGTAACACATCTTTATTTACCTTCGTAAAATTGGAAATATACGCCATTATCTCATCAAACACACCTGCCAAAAACTTGTACAAGCACTACACTACACTAAACTCGAATATGGAAATGCACTATGGATTGTCTTCAGACCATATCAAGCCACTTCAACATACACATAATGCAACAGCCCGAATTGTTGTGAGTAAGAAGAAATGTGACCATATAACACCTATTCTTAAAGAACTCCACTGGCTTCCAGTACAGCACAGAAATGTTTTCAAAATTATGTGCACCACCTACAAAGCCCTGAATGGCCTTTCACCAAGTTATATATCTGACATTGTTCACTTCAAATCAATTCAGAAACCTACAATAGATACCTTTAAAAAGAATATTAAAACTCTCATATTTACCAGAGCCGTTTACAACATCTAATTGTATAGCGCCTCTGTACAATCTGTCGTATTTGATACTGTCGCTATATAAATTTCATTATTGATTAATTGATTGATGGACCATAACTATGCTTGTCGGTAATGATACGTTTTCAATAACTTGTAAATATAATATAGACCAATTTGGGTTTAATCGTTTTAAAACTGGCAACTGTCCGCAATTAAGTGACGATGGAGTGAGAAATTCTAATTTTTCATTGAATTTGCTGATATCCAAAGTAACCTATCCACAAAATGTTCTTATCTTTGAATGAGCGAATTGAGTATGGGTTTAAAAGTATATCAGGCGACTAGAAAAAACTTGGGAATGGGATCGATGGGAATGTACAATGCATCGGATCTACCATGCGTGTACAATTACCGGGTAATTAGACTAATAACATTAATTATAATTTATAATATTCAATCAATATTGCCTACCCCGTGTGTCTAATTAATTAAATTACAATTAGTGCCTTATCCGTATGGCATAATAACACACACCGTATGGTGTATTCAGGTCACTATTAAAAGTGCATCTCAAGTTGAGTCTAATCTTCCATCTAAGTTACTTACTGGATTAAATGCCAGTAAATCTATAGTGCGCCCGAGATTGCAAACTGTCCCTTTAACTGTACCCATCCACAAAGATGCACATAATAGTCTATGATGTACATCCCTTCTTAGCGAGAGGGGAGTAACCGCTACTCCGCTCTACTATGCTGTTGAGATGTATTGTCTGTATAAACTGTTTTACATGTATTTCTTCGCTCATTTAGATATGGCGGGCTACATCGGTATAATCTAACGAGGTTTGGCCGTGCTCTGAAAGATTACTCGGGATACATTTGGATACCTCTCCACTCCAATCTGGATCGCATTCCAGTCACGCTGACAGCTGCATACCTGCTACGAATTGGAGGACTGCAGGTATTACTCATGAACCCAGATCACTACCTTGGAATGCAGAACTATTGGACTTCTCGTGGTATCACGGGTTATCTCACAACAGGTGAGAGTTGAATGGGTGGACGTCTTTAAATATAATATATACCGCCCTCTAACGACGAAGCAAATTCTCAGTGCTAGCTACAACATGCAGTGGTTCAGCAGTTTAGAATGAATGAGGTGTGTTGTCTTGTTTACGCGTGCGCCTTAGCTCAACTATGGAGGTAAAAAGATATTACCTCCATGGCTCAACTGAAAAATTTAACTAGCAGTGCGTCCCAATGTTCATTTAAAATTAGCTGCACTTTGATACTATAATTATAGACCGTGTCAAAAAAATGAGGTTCTTTTTTATATATATATTCTTTGGAATACAGGGATGAAAATCACGGGGCAAAATGTTGATTTACACTAAGTGCGATTCATCACGCGGGATAACAAAAAAAGGTGGCACCAAAAACGTATGAATTCACCCTGCAACACCTACCAAATTAAATCGGGGGA